AATAGTGTTTTTTCACAGCTGGATCTGCTTGGAATATTGCCAAAGGCACAGCCCTATAAACATAAATTATAAGTAAACATTATAAAGTAATATAATTAGTTTTCACATAAAAATAATATGTTAATAAAGTAAGACCTTTCTGTAACAGGTGCACCAGCAGGTTTTATAGCTATAACAGATTTACAAGCTAAACCAGCATCTTTTAGCATTTCATCTCCTAAAAATTCAGCCAATCTCTTTGCAGTTGTAATTGATACTGACTTTTGCTGTCCATATTCTTCTAATTTACGTGACATGGATTTGTTTTCAGTTATAAGTTCATACAATTCTGTATCAGGTATATTCGTACACTAAAAAATATATTTTTTTTTTTAATTAAATGACATAACTTTATAAAAACATTTATAAATATGTAATTATTTGTATAATTTTTACTTTGCTATAAAGAATGTCAAGCCAATGGTTAGCTACTTTAGCGACAGACTCATAACATTCCTCCAGTGTTTTACCATGCAAAAATGATTCAAAAACGGAAGATTGAAAGTTTTTAATTAATTCCAATTCGCCTCTTCTTTTGACTTCAAAACCTTTTAACTCGGCTAAACTACCATCAAAATTAAATACTGCGTATCGTTTCTTTAACTTTTTTCCTTCTTCTTTTGCTGCAGGTAGTACCATAGCTAAATATGGTCCATCAACTTCAAAAAAAATTGAATTTTCGCTTCTTATTTCATATTTCATATATTCAGAATCCACAAGATCATGATATACATCATTGGTAAATTTTTCCTATTTATTATGAATTAAATATAAATATTTACAAGCTTAAAAATATACCATAAAATAAAGATTATTCTTTTACATACTTTAACCATATAATTGAGAATAGCATTAGGATAAGAAATGGTAAGTTTCTTTTTCTTTTCATGCGTAGTATGAGCAATCACACTATCTGGGAACGATGCAGGTAAAATACACCAAATACCATCTGTGTCTAATTCTAATGGTCGACCAACTTGTTCTATGATTTCTCTAGCTTTCATAATAATATGAGCTCCTGTATAACATACAATACCACCCATTTCCATACTATGCCACCGTGATCTGTTAAATGTGAATTATTTTAATAAAAGAAAATAAGTATAAAAATTAAAATCATTTTTTAAAAAATTAGTCATTTAAAAAAAAATTGAATATACAAATGATATATACCCTCTTCTCATGACGTAACCATAGAAGGAATTGAGAATACATTTATGAGCTAACTGTAAGGAATCATATACAATTTCTCTGTTTTTTGCAGATTTAATATCAGCCGCATCACCTTGTGCTATAGCTGCTGCTACTTGCTTTTTAGCAGCTTTGTTTAATGCCTTATATTCATATCGTCTGTCTCTGAATGCTCGTACTGTATCCACGTAAAATGAATTTTCTTTTTGACAAACTACTTGAGTTCTTTCTTCCATACTTGTAATTTTCGCCTTTTTATAGACTTTCCTAGAATATTCTGTAAGTCTCTTTTTTTGTAAAGACGCTTGTTCTTTTTTAGTCAATTGATGAAATGCTCTTGGTTGACCTCCAGGGAAAACTGAAGGGAATTTTTCTATTTCAAGTTGTTGTTGAATTCTTTGATATTCACCTATGTTAGCAGCCACTAGAAAACAAAAATTAAATTAGTAAAAGTAAACAAATAAAAGTAAACTAATATTATAACACTTATAATAAACATTCTTTTAATTGTTCTAGTAGCGATTATTTATTATGGAATATTTAATTTTTTAATTTATTATATTTTATAACTTACAGTATTCTCCCCTCCACATCCACTTCATTTCCCTTTTGCAAAGAGCTCCAGGTTTGTTATAATCGCATGCAGCACAAACAAACTCATTGACCATAGCAGAAGGCTGCAGTCGATTAGTTAAAATAATATTCGGATACATTGCGCCGACATCCAAATGATATATCACAGGATTTTCGAGTCTCAATGGATGATCCTTTAGCAATTGTAATTTATTTTTAATTTCTGTTATAATATCATCAAAATTGGTTACCATATCAATTGGTACTTTTTCTTCTTCTTGAATTGCATATTTTAAAGCATTTTCAACTCCATCCATTAATTCATTTATCATGTTCGGTACTATTTTAAAATGGCATGGAATGTCTGCTCGAAATACTCCACTTTCCAATGCTTCTACGTGACCACCAACATATGTTTCTTGATCTAATACATGACCATGTTTAGTTAACTTATTCAATTCTGCTTCTTCTTTATTAGGAAATATAATATTAGCTTTAAAGGCTTCTACCATAAGAAGAGATTCACAAAGAGTTCCACTGCCTTTTCTAAGCACCTACAATATATAATAATAAAACATATAACTTTGTTATTATTTATATACATAGTATTTCAAAAATATTTTACAGACCTCATCGGGTTCTAAGGGAATAATAGTTGATAATGCAAATATAAATGGATGCACATATTTAAGATACAAATAATAAGTTGCTACTGCATCGGATACAGAATAACTTGCTAAAGTTTGTGGGTCTTCAACTGCTAATCTACACATTTCTTCAGGATCTAATTCAACTGGATTGTATCGAAGCTTTGCTTTTGTAACAGCTTTTAAACCTTGCGATCCTACAGGAAGATAAGAATCGCGCCTTACCCAGCTGTAAAAAATGTTACATGTAAACAATATTTTAATTACACATAATAAAATAAATAATAATAATGTTATGTATGTACCACAAACAATCCATATGCATAGCTGGTCTACTAGTATAAATTCCATCACGATTTTTTGTAAAACCAATTTTATCTTTCATTATCATGTTATGCAATGCCGCTCTTGCTTCCACAAAAGGCCAATCGAAAAAGTCACCGTTGTATGTGACAAAAATATGTGGTTTTACATCAATGATGTGATCAAAAAATTTCTTTATCGTTGCTTTTTCATTAGGTTCATTATAAATTGTAAACAAACCCTCAAATTCTGGTTTTGGTGTGTATTCAAAATCATCTATATCTTGTGAAATGATTTCTCTATTTGTTATTAAATATCCCTAAAAATATAACATAAAAATGTATCCTTTTATAACTCAGATTCTATAATAATGATATAGATAATATTACTATTAATAAATTATGCAAATTAATTAATTACTTGTCCATCTATCATATATGATATCATCATAATTTGATCTGTACTAGCATCAGGAAATTTTAATGGAAGTTTCGTTGTTTCAATATCGTATGCTAACACAATAGGATCAGGAGGTTCGATAATATCATTTCTTCTTGTAATAATAGCTGGATCAGATCCTCTACTTTTAACTGAATACCAAGCACCACAGAATATACCAATATCAGTGGATACTCGTTGATGATGTGGTATGTCATATTCCCTTTGTGAAATATTTTTATTTATAATAGAAAATTAAACAAGCAATTTAAATATAAGCATAAATAACATTTACCTAATATCAAGAATATTTTCCATATGATCTACAATCATTTTTCCTTTTTGTTCTTCGGTCGGATTCAAAACATTGGATAACATATCTGCATAATGAGTACGACTTTTTTCTCTTTCCTTGTTCACTCTAACAGCGCTCATTATTTCACGTCTTACTTTTGTCAAATCAACTGTATTTTCAAAATACATTTTTAAATACTTTTGCTTCAAACCAATTAAATGGTTAGGCTATAAAAATAATTAAAAGTTTACATTTATCTTTTCTATGAAAACATTTATTATATAGGAGATGAGTAGATATATATTTTTTTAAATTAAATAAAAAAAATAATAGGTTCTTACTAAGTCTAAATCTTCTTTAGAAATTGATTCAATTTTAACAACACGACCATTGTATTTCTTGTACAAGAAAGTTGAAACTTCTTCTGAAGTATCTTTACGACATAAGATATAAAAATATGGTTGGTATGGTAAAGATACTTTAAATCTAGTACAATCCTCCTCTAAGAAATATAAATCAATACCACTTAACAAGCGTTTGTCATCTTCTCTAATTTCGGTCTATAAATAATGATATTTTTTAATCTTTATCAAGAATGTTATAACATAAAGGTTGATACTATATGATCAAAAATATTAAACAATTATGGATTGATTACAATGTGCATATTAATCAGAAATCCAACTCTTTCTTTCGTATCAGTAACCGAGTGAAATCCATACAGAGCATCCACTCTTATATTTTCATTAATTTGATTTAATCTTCCTACTGAACTTTCTCTAAAAAAAAACAAATAGAAAAGAAAGAAACAAGAAAATAAAATATAATGAAAGAAATTCATATTATGAATATGTAACAAATAATACTTATACAAAAAGAAACTAACTCTGAAGCAGCACCAGGTTCAGGATTGATATCCTTTTGATCATTTTTGTTATTTTTTCTTTCTGATCGATACTTTCCTGTATTTTGCAATGATGTCATCTTGATAGCTGATTTTTAATAAAACTAACATAAAATCAAATGATCTTTTAATATAAATTTTAACAAATACTTCCACCTATTTTCTATACTGAACAATGACACACTCAACAGGTTACGAAGTTTAGAGCAAATGTTAAGCTACGCGCCAAAATTTAAAACAAATGCGCCGCAGTCCATGAAAAGCTACAACTTACAATTAATATTAGTATAGATATTTTTCCGAAAGATGGTATACTTAAACGCTTCGAGCGACAGTTACGGATACAATGTGAACTACAAGACACAGAGAAACTTGACAATACGAAAAAATTCACAATTGCAAGATACTATTTAAAGGAGTTGAACATGTGACAGTGAAATATTTGAACAATCGTATAAAAAATTTTATGAGGAATTTTATATAAGATAAAAAATTTTAGAAAATTAACCATTCATGATTGATGTGAACCGTTATAAAATTTGGAGTGATAAGCACTTAAAGGATAACAAACAAAAAGTAAGAATAAGTAAATTGTCAATGAATTATTTTGTTCTTGTATATACAAAATATTAAAAATAAATAAAAATAATTCATACATTATATATCAATTTTATTTACTTATATCTTAATCAACTTTAGTAGTAGATTCTGCACTCCACATTAATATGCTGTAACCATTCGCAGCCAAAAAACAGTTCTTCGTTGGATGAACGTTTATAGATAAGGTAGGATATTTTGACGGCCTGTATCCAGAAAGTTTAGCGACAACTTCCTGTGTTGCCAAATCCCATACCCATAATTTACCATCTTCGGAACCAGAAAGAATCTGGGTATCTTGAGCATTTACACTTGATTCTAAACACAAATCTTTAGCCGTATGTCCAATAAATTTCCCAAGTAATTCTCCGGTATCTTTATCAATTAAACGTACTACATCGTTTGCACAACTAACAACAATACACTGTCCGTCCCTTGTAAAACTAGCACATGTCACTGCGTCTAAAAAAAAAATTTGTTTTTTTATATTTATACATTACATATAGAAGTAATTTTGTAATACTCAATATATCAAATACCTTTCATGTAATCCGAATACATTTGACCAACACGAATATCATATCTTCTTATCTTTCCATCAAATGAAGCAGATAAAATTTCATGATCAGAAGTTCTAACGCTAGAAATTGAATCTTTGGCATCATTCAAACATTGTACAGGATCTATCGATTTAGACCTTACATCCCAACACATAACGGTATTGTCTCGAGATCCAGAAACAACCATTGTTGATTCTTCATTATATCTAACATCATAATAAAAGTCCTTATTTATACATAGTGATAATATTTACATACAAAGAGTAAGAAAATATTTTATTCTACCTCACAGTTGTTACAGGACCTGCATGTCCTCTTAAACGTCGAGTAGGAGTTCCAGTACTTACATCCCATAAAATCAAAGATTTATCTAAACCGCAAGATACTATCTGACTGCTATCGCAAGATGCACAAGCATCCATAACTTCGTCTCCATGTCCACCATAGACTTTTAATGTTGTAGCCTTGTAAGGATTCCATAACTTTATTTTCCTATCTGATCCACACGTCACACAATATTCTCCATCAACTGTAAATTGTTTTTAGGTTAGTTTATATGAAAAATTTTTAAAAATCATTATATATATATATATATATATATATATATATATATATATCATATGCTAAACATTTTGATAAAACTATTAATAATATAAATAATATGTACATACCACTGAAACGAACTGACCTTACTGCACCTTGTTTGCAATCAATTTCTTGTACGAACTTATATTTTACTTCTATGCCACTCATGTCAAAGAAAAATTTAAATGCAGTAATTTTTTCAAGCAAATCACGACATTTCCTTATTTTAAATATTATATTTAAATTTTGCTGATGAATAAATACTTTAAATATACTCTACATACACAATTGCTCATAAACATTTTGTACGAAATAGGTTATACCGCGTAAACTGCTTTATTTGATTCGTTCTATCGAGTATTTATATTTGTCACGTGATATATATTATTATTTATATTTAATATAAATTTTACATCTTTAAATTTGATTTGTCATAAAAATTGAAATTTTATTAATTATTTAGAAAACTTTTTATCTATTACAAAACATAACATTATTTAGTTTTTTATATTATTGTTCGATGTAATAATTATTTTATGCAAATATTACGTATAAACTTTTCATAGGTTGAATCAATCAGATGATTAGATTGGACCAATGAAAGAACGTTTTTATAAGAAATGCAATTACTGAATGGCGCGACAATTCGTCGGAAAAAATAGAATAAACACGTCGTCACCACGTTTTATAGGTGTTTCACGTCGATATTTTTATAAATAATAAAAATAGACAAAGATTTCATTCCTTCGAAATTAATAAATTTTTTTTTGATAAAACTAATAAGAAAAGCGGTCAAGTTCATTATAACGCAGAGGATATTTAATGTTACTTTGAAACAGAAAAAATTAATTGAAAATTTCGTGGAATCGAGTTGATCTATCCGGGTTTGGAATTTTCAGCAAACATATTGTCGATATATTAATAATACAATATTTTGCAAAATTTAATTTACAACGAATTCTTAAAGAAAAATTAGTTTTACCGATCGACAATAGGTTATAAATTTCGATTTGTGATAGAGATTTCAACGAGGGATAGAAAGAATAAGAAAAGGGTGCGTAGAAAGTGAGATAAAGAAAGTCAATGAGAATCGCAGAGAGAGCAAGAGAGAAAAAAATATCGAGAATACCGCTAGAGTGTAGAAAATAGTGGGAGGGAGAAAGAGAGAAAGAGAAAAAGGAGATAGAGAAGAATGAACTGCGCGCGCAGATGGCGCGATGTTGATGCGTCAGAATCGGTGCTCTTGCCGTCATCGTCATCATTTGCCGGGCTATGCCAAGGATGAAAAGAGAAGGAATTTTAGCTCGTTCATAAGAGAGAGAAATAAAGATAGAACTGAAGGGAGAGAAAGATAGTGTATGCACACTACTATGCGCATGAATTGTTGAGGACTAGAAAGAGAAGGTAATAGTAAGCACGAGAGAAAAAGGGATAGAAGGATGGAGTGGGAGAGAGAGGGACAGAGGGAGTTAGACAGAAAGGAGAGGAAGTAAAGCAGCAAACAGACAAGACGCGCCTTCGTGAAGAGAGGCACGGAAGCAGGAGCTTGTACTTACGGGGCGGGCCACTATTAGAGCCAGTCTTACGACCACCTCAGAGTATACATTTTTTTCTCCACTGTAATCGCACGAACGTTGTTCGTATCACTCGAACGTTTAGACAGAGAAAAAGAGAGAGTGAGAGAGAGCCGGTGAAACGAATTACAGAGAGGGTTTCATGCGAGGATCATCATTGGAAATTATTATTGCTACTGTTTCTTCCCTACCGCGTGACTCGTATCTTTGAAAAGGACGAACTAGTGGTACCCCTAGTTGATTTGACAGATATAAACATATTTATAATTTATTATTTCTCTCATTCCTTTTTTCTATAAATTAAATGTTATGTTCCTTCTAACATATATTTACATATATTAATCTAATAATAATAATAAAATCTCCTCTCTCTCATTCTCTTTCATTCCCTTTTGCAATTTGTCTTTGTATAGAACGAATAACCCAAAATTCGAATGCGGTTTTCCCTATCATCGTTATTACTACTATCATTCTTCTCGTGCTCGTCGTGATAGTTGTTGCTACTGCTACTGCTACTGCTACTGGTACTGCTACTACTGCTGCTGCTACTGCTGCTGCTCTTTCTCTTGATCGATTCCCCGGCGAGGTTGCCGGGTGGGAAAAGTAAGCGTGCGTGCCGCAGACGACGTCTCGCGAAGAGAAACGAAGAAGTAAGAGGAGAAGAAGAAAGAGAGAAAGAGAGAAAGAAAGAAAGAAAGAAAGAGAGGAAGAAAGAGAAACGGCCGGAACGCGACCGCTTGCTTGCTGACTTTTCTTCGCGCCGTCTATATAGTAGTGGTGGTGGTGGTAGTGGTGGTGGTGGTGGTGCTCTGGTGGTGATCTGGTGTTCTAGTGGTGGTGACTTTGCCGAAGGTGTATTGGCTGAGAGAGAGAGCCGACGACAGGACACGAGTAAGCCGCCGACAAAAGAGGGCTGTTATGGAGCGAGGTTGTCGTCTGCTTTTCCTGTTCCCGCCGCTACACCTGCTTACGATATTCATTGCTCTCACTTTGACAGATGCTTTTTCTACGGACAGTAAGTATTTCCTTATTATTCATCTTATTTCGTTTCAACATTTCTTACTACCCTCCTTTATATTTTTGATAAACCTCACCACCAGTTAGTTCAACCAGAGCTTTCCCTTTTTTTTCTTTTTACTTTACGTGAACCAATACGAGATTGTATTTGATTGAACGAAATATGAGAATGTCAATGTTTTGGAACATATTTCAGTCAATATCATTTCAATATTTTTTCCTTTTAATTTATTTGAATAAAATATAGAAGAGAAAGGAAAGATTCATGAGAGAGAAAAAGAGAGAGAGAGAAAGATGTAGCTGCTTTACCGTGCGTGCCTTTCCGTGTGCGTACACGCGCGTGCGCATTAGACGGATTAAAAGGCGATTGTCTTTGAACGTGTACGACACGCAATCGTCGATTTCGTGTCACACCACCCGGTCTAGCTTGTATATATATATATATATATACATGCCCATATATAAATGTGTATAGGTACTTGCATATATGACCCTACGAATGAGCACGGCGCTTCTTTGCGTAACCACCTCGCTTTTCTGCGGTACTTCTTGACATAGAACGCGTCAGGTGTTAAGTCGAAGAGACAAGAATTGGCTCAATCACTCGTTTTTATAGTCTATATACCTATATACATCTCTCTCTCTCTCTCTCTCTCTCTATATATATATATATATATATATATATATGTGTATTAGTATGTATTAGTTAAGAGAAATGTTCTTGACCTTTTACGAAAATGTGAACTAAGACTGCTCGTTTAATAATTCAACATTTTATACAAATATAAATAAGTTTATTATACATATACAATATATACATACATATTTATATATATTGTATGTGATGTGATAGGTTTATGCATATTTTTATTATTTAAAATATTGCTCCTTAGCAAATATTATTCTTTTTTTTCAAATGCAAATGTAAGTAGACAAGAATCATCCTTGAGAATAATCAGTTATCAGCCATTTAAATTTCTTACGTTCGTTTAGATATTGCGCACGTAAAATAATCTTTGAACTATTTGTTGATGTTTTTTTCCATTTGATTTTCTTTCCTATCTCTTTCTCTTTCTCTCTCTCTCTCTCTCTCTCTCTCTCTCTTCCTCTCTTTCTTTTTTTACGTTAATAGAGCTAAATATCATCTTAGGAAAATTAAATTTCTTTTTTATTAGCTTGACAAATTTTGATAAACATATATTACGGTTGTTTGATATTATCATTTTGGTAATATAATTTAAATGTATTAATTGAATATATAATTATTCTAAATTTTACACATACGCTTATTCATGTTTATATAATAATAAATATTATTTTGTGAAATGTAAATATTGATCATTATAATTGTTTTGTTCATCCGATTACTAACGAATTTATTTTATTAGTTTTGTTTTAATCTTACATAATCGAGCTTCAAAGCATAATTAATTATATCATAAATATGTGAGAGTAGTTCGCATAAAACAAATTTCATGATAAACAAATTAAAAACTCATAATCTCGTGTTTATCTAAAATTCGTTAAATTTTTCAATATTTGTCAAACTCCACATTTTTATTCCTTTTTATTGTCATTTCCAATGAATTTCAAATTATCTGCAATGGATCGATCAATCTTTTAGAAAAAAAAGAAATTTATATAATATTACGAGACGATTCAAAGAATTCTAAATTTATCGATTAGTATACTTTTTGTAAATGATCGTTTTAAAATCGTACGTAAAATATTACTATCTATTTTCCAATATTTTCGATATATATAAGTCGTGTTTATACAACATTTTTAATTTTATTCGTTTAAGTTTTCTTTTTCTATAAGATTTTTTTTGTAGGTCAACTATTTTTCGCAAGATTTGTTGAATTCACGTTACGGAAGTCAGATAAGACGAAGAACGTTGCTCGTGATTCGAAAGTGCATACGCATGATTTTTTTCCCGATTAATCGATCTATCGTGAACTATGATCAAAGTTTAATCGTTATATCGGGAAGTATTCGTGTCGAATCAAAGCAGGAACTGTTTTATAAACAAGAGATTATCTTACATTTCTACGCATATTTAGAAATAAATAAATTACGTTACTGACATAATTCAGTAATTCGATAAAACGCAAAACAAACTTTCTTCAATCGGTGTTCCAATCATTTCGATTTTTTATTAATTGTTTATCAAATATTATATTACATGAGAATACAATATTTTTTTAAATCAAATCATACACGTATAATAATAATTCTTTAAAATGTATCGTATTTCAACGAGATTTTATATTTATTTAGCATTTTATTTGATTACCAAATTAAATATATTGATTATGTTTACTGCGTATAGTTTCTCTCTGCCTTTCTCTCTCTCTCTTTAATGATAAACAATTTAAATTAAGAGTGACAACAGGGCAAGAAGGAAAAGAGGAGGAGAGTTGAAGGCAAGAGAGAAAATAAACATATAAACACAAATAGTATAGACAAAACAATAGCTAGACGATTACTAACGATCAAAACAATTTAATTGATATTTAACCCTTTATAATGCAATGTCTTGCGAAGTAACACATTTAGACATGTGACGGTGATCAAGAAAGTCGTGTAATTTATTTGGAATATTAACAAATTTGCATATTACATTAGCACGTTATTATTAAAATTCTACGATCTTGTAAATGAATAATATTGTTGCAAATCAATTATACACTCATTTACTTTCTTTAATAAAAGAAAAATCATTTTTAAATGATTTAATACTTAAATCATTTTTAAAATCGTTTGTCAATGTATTTTTTTATTTTTTCATTCATTTTGTCGACATAATGACATCAATTTGATTTTTATTTCAATATAATGTCTCGAATTTTTAAAAATATTTTTCTCTATCTTTTTTTAAATATAATTTATACTTAAAATTAGTTTAAAGTGTAATTACACTAGTATACTCAACCTCTTCTTGTGTAACACAATATTCTTAAAGGATGGTCTACAAATTGCAACGGCTCTTTTATAGCACAACATTTTTATAAAACTGTTTCTATATAGCATGACTTAATAAATTCGGTCATCCTCATATAGCATGAATGTTAGATATAAAAATTATACACATATATATATTTTTACATTATATAATTCTGTTGTAGTTGTGAACAAAAATTGGGTTGGTTTTAAAGGATTAAGCTTGACGTTATAGAACTATAATAAAATGAAAAAGTATACGTACACGTCCGTTTTACCTTCAATGTGGAAATTTTACATTTTCACAAAAGTATTTTCGAAAAAAAAATGGAAATAAAAAAGTAAAAACCTTAGTCGTTGACATTGACAGATATTTCATGTTTCTTTTTTTGAATTACATTCAATAATATGATTACTTGAAGATATAAGAATTTTCTCAGAAATGAACTAAAAAACGAGAATTTATTTAAATTCGAAACTATAATTATGCGATAGTTAACACATCTTTTTGTCTTCTATTACACATCAACAATTATCTGTTAATTATCAATTAGACGAGATAATTGATTTACAAGTTTTTAAGTAATTTTACAAAATGTAGTTATTCTCCTTCGATATTACAAAAAAGAAAAGAAATTAACGTAATTGATTCTAAAAGAATTTAACTACAAACTTTTGGGTCCACTCTTTCGCGAATTTATATATATATATACATAAATGTTAACAGAGATAGTATCTATATTATATTTATTGATTTACTGAGATTCGATATAAAGTATGCAAAGTTATGTACTTTACTTTCTAGTAAGATGAACTACATATTATTTTTTAACCCTTATCGGTCGTCAGCTTTTTTCACACGATTCTCATTAGGTTGTTGCTGATTTCGGTTTATATGCATATTAGGGTGGGTCAAAAAAATGACTTATTTTTTTTTTTTTCAAGTGCCACGGAAAAATGGGTTGCTAGACACCTTAAATCAATTCTCACCAAATATGAGCTCTTAATTTTAATAGGAAGATCCTCCGCATCGCAGTTTTTTTTCAGTCCAATAGATTAAAATTCATACCTTATTATTTATTGATTGTACAGAAAAATGTTCTAGACGAATTTTGTAGGAAATTTAATGCTCTACAAAAAA